GTGTAATAATTGGGGATTTGGTTGAGACTTGAACAGCACTAGTTGCATGAGTCGAGTCTTAACAACAAGGTTTTAGACTGTTTCCATCCAGTGAGAACCCATGTAAATAGTGTGAAATAGAAAAATCTGAACGGATTGTTTTGTTTCCCAGTTCCAATGTCACTTTGAAATTTTAAACTCAAGTAGCTCTTTTCCAAAGTTTTCATGAATTACATTTTCGGTTTCTCTTTATTAAATTTATTCAATAATAAAAGTGATTTGTTCTCATCAGTTTAAACTATTTCTGTTCAGGGTTGAGGAGGCTGGAGGCAGTAGATGGAAGAGAAGGGAGAAGACCTTGGATAGGTTGCTAAGGCCAACGAGGACGCGAACACACACACACACACACACACACACACACACACACACACACACACACACACACACACACACACACACACACACACACACACACACACACACACACACACACACACACACACACACACACAGAGTACACCAATAAATCCAGTTTGGAATCCTCAGTAATCTGATGGTTTAATGAGAGGGGAGAAGACGACACATGCCTGGTGAGAACAAACCAAAACGCCTCGGCGTGAGTCGACTCCACACCACCACCTTGCAGCGCGTTGCCTTAACGCTACTTCCTTTGGCAACATCTTGCATCAATGCAGGAATAAGGTGGAAAAGTTTAACCAAAAAATATTTTAAAGACAATGTTTGCAGACATGTGAGTTAGCCCAAACATTCACATTAAACATTACAGAGGTGGAATGCAGCCCTCATTAACCATTTAATTCCCCACTTTTGGCAGACAACAGGGTCAAAGATGTCTTATGTACTGAAGCTCTTACCCCGTGTGGCTCCTGGGATGTGATGTGAATTTTTCATTCGTCTTAGACAAATCCCTTGTTGTGAACAGATTTGTGAAAAAACAAAACAAAACAAAACAACAATAAAAAAAAATGCGGTGAACGTGAGGGTGATTTGCAGGTCTATGGCCATCCGGTGTGATCAGCTCAGTGACAGCTTGGGCACTCTCACAACCAAATTCAGCCTCCAACAGTCTTCGAGCAGTGTCAGAAAATCTATGACTCTGGTCTGCAATGAAAAACACCCAGGGAGCGATGCAACAAACTAGTGATGAAGAGAATGGAAATAGCAACAGAGGAGGCTATACACAAGAACATGTAGACCACTCCTTTTGGGAGTTTGGTTCAGAGTCTAATAAAACAACTGTTAACAGTGGCCCTTTTTTATATTTTCATCTATGTTTTCACAGGGCTTTTAGTGCTGTACACTTTTCAGTGAGTATGCTAGCAACATTAGTGCGTGCTGCTAAAACAAAACATTGTGTGATGTCACCTCACCTCACCTTCCTCTGCTTATCCGGGTCGTGGGGGCAGCATCCCAAGTAGGGCTTCCCAGGCAATCCCAAATCTGCCAGCTCCTCAGCTGAGACATCCAGGCGTTCCCTGGCCAACCCAGAGATGTATTTCCTCCAGATAGTCCTGGATAGTCCGGCCCTTCTGCCGGCAGAACATGCCTAAAAAACCTGTTGAGGGAGGCGTCTAGGAGGCATCTTGACCTGATGATCCTGATCACCTCAACTGGCTCCTTTCAATACAGAGGAGCAGCGGCTCCACTCCGAGTCCCTCCCGAATGTCTGAGTTCCTTCTGAGTTCCTTACCCTATCCCTAAGACTGGGCCCAGCCACCCTGCGAAGGAAATAAATTTTGGCCGCTTGTATCCGCGATCTCATTCTTTCGGTCGTCACCCAAAGCTCATAACCATAGATGAGGATTGGGATGTAGATCGACCGGTAAATTGAGAGCCTTGCTTTCTGGCTCAGCTCCCTCTTCACCACGACAGATCGGTTCAGCGTCACTGCAGCCGCTGCCCCAATCCACCTGTCAATCTCCCGCTCCCTCCTTCCCTCACTCGTGAACAAGACTCCGAGACACTTAAAATCCTCTAGTTGGGGGAGGACCTCTCTCCCGACCTGGAGTTGGCAAACCACCCTTTTCCGGTCGAGAACAATGGTCTCAGACTTGGAGGTGCTGATCCTCCTCCCAGCCTCTTCGCACTCGGTTGTGAACCTCCCCAGCAAGAGCTTAAGGGCCGAGCTTGATGAAGCTAGGAGGACCACATCATCCGCAAAACAGAGACGAGATTCTCCTGCCACCAAACTTGACATGTTCAACACCCCGGCTGTGCATACAAATCCTGTCCATAAACGTTATGAACAGGACCAGTGACAAAGGGCAGCCCTGGTGGTGTCCAACCTTCAATGGGAACAGGTTCGACTTATTGCCGGCTATGCTGACCAAACTCCTCTGGTACAGGGACTGAATGGTCCTCAGCAAAAGACCATCCACCCCAGACTCCTGGAGTTTCTCCTACAGGGTGCCCCTGGGGACACGGTCATAAGCCTTTTCCAAATCCACAAAACACATGTGGATTGGTTGGGCAAACTCCGTGACCCCTTCATTACCCTTGCAAGGGTAAAGAGCTGGTCCACAGTTCCACGACCAGGATGAAAACCACATTGCTCCTCCTCAATCTGGGATTCAATTATCGACCAGACCCTCCTCTCCAGTACCCTGGAGTAGACTTTTCCAGGGAGGCTGAGGAGTGTGATCCCCCCAATTTGTGCAATTTGGGTTTTTGCAAAAAGCAGAGAACTGACCCTCAACATCTTGGCTGCATCTAGAATTCCTGTCCATATGAGCAAAACTGGTGATAAAGGGCAGCCTTGGCGCAGTCCAACTCTCACCGGGAACAAGGCCAACTTACGGTCGGCAATACAGACCGAGTTCTGACACCGGTCATATAAGGACTTAACAGCCCATATCAGAGGGCCTGGTACCCCATACCCCTTGGGAGGCGGTCAAACACCTTCTCCAAATCCACAAACCACATGTAGATTGGTTGGGCAAACTCCCAGCACCCTCCAGGACCCTTCTTTGTGCTCAGATCCTAAAAATAAAGCTCAACTGTGGTGTAAAAACTGGTCAAAATCTGCACCTTTCAATCAGAAAATTTGTGAAATCTAGAAATGGAAAATGTGCATGCACTCCATAATCACCTGGGAAATGTTTTTCTGTCATTTCACCATATAAAGAGTCCTTCATAGTTCTCACAAACAGCTGTTCTGCTCCAGACAGCTTTTGACCTTTATGAATCGATGTCACCCATGTACATTTTTGGGGACTGAGCTTTGGTTTGGCTGATTAGCTTTCCACGTTGACAGGAGCAGCTTCAAACAACAAGTTTGGACATGAGCTCTGCTGAGCAGGAAGAGGGGACGGCGATCGCTTGATAATAATCACAACGACAGAATTAATCACACTGCCAGCTCAAATGACGCCTGGGTCCTCAGATGCATCACAATATGGAGCTGAAAGCTTTGCACAGACGTGTGTGCACACCGGTGACATGCTGATTGTGTTTCCCCCTCGATAAAAGCAACCTGGAATGTTGGTAATAAATGTCCAAGCGTTCCATTTTCTAAAGCATTTGTGTTTTAGACAAAAGCCAAAATAACGATCTCTATTCACTAAATAACTGCTTTCATTGTTGGAAAAGGTATATTATTCTGCTACATCCTCAGCACCTGTGTCACAAAAATAATCAAGGGAACAGACTTCTGTCATCGTTCCCTAATTTAACTATCCTGTAATGAGAAAGCCAGCATTTTAATGCTACACCTGCTCCAAGCACCGCTGATTATTGAGAATGATATTTAATTTAATAAAAAGCTGAAGATAGCAAGAATTATAGCCTGCATGTCAACTAAATGCCAACTAGAGAGCCGGTGGGGTGCTGAGTATGAAAGTCTTAGATTAAACAGATAAATTTCCAGGAATTACATTCCTCCAATTTTCAAGTGGTATTTACGAGAGAAAAGACACAACGGAGAGGAGAGTTACACGTTGAGAATAATTGCTTAATTAGATGAAATTATACATAGAAACAAAACTAAGAAATCAGAAAAAGCATGAGATTTTTATTCTAAATTAACATTTCATCATTAGATTATTAGGTTACTGATGAAAGGAGACAGTTTAAAGGAAAACGTGCTGATTTAATGACCTTTTACTTCTAAAATGACTGCTCTGGTCTTAGAAACATCTGTGCCTATACTATATTGCATTAATCTTAGAAACTATATTTTATGACGTTCGTTCTTCTTTCAAGTCCTGTAAATATACATCTGTCACGACAACCCCCCACAGTTACCTTCCTTATGAGGTGAGTTACTTCCATCATAATTCTCCCTACTCAGCCTCTCCGGAAGCACAAACGACATTGAGTCGAGAAAACAGAACATTCAAATGACTTTTACTCTGAAAAAAAAAAAAAATTAAAACGCAGAATCAAGGAGGTCTATAGTTGCTCTTTATTCCATAGACAATGCACTGATAGCTTTAATAATAAATGTTCCGCATTGCAGAATGTCATCCGTAACAGAGATTTTTTTTGTCTGTACAATAAATTATGAGACATGCATAATAATGCCTCGATCACATGATGGAATAAGTCATTTAAGATTATTTCATTGATGCACGAAACATATTACAAAATGTATGCTGCAGATGTGAGCACAGATAGCTTACTTCTCTGTGTCATTAAAAATAAATGCAAAAGCAATAAAAAAATGATCACACACTATACACCCTATAGTTTCCTGTTGCTCAGAAATGAGTGCAAATACAAGGGGAAACCTTATTTTTGGATTATTTATTGACAAAATCAGGCTTTCGTGCCAAATGAACAGCAGTGGTAGCCCTATAACACCTTTATGGAGGGGGGGGGGGTTGGGAATTTAGAAAATGGTGGACATCAGTTACGTACATATTTATTTAAATTGTGATTTATTAAATACAGTATATTGTTTATTAAAAATAAATTAACTTTTTACTGGATTTGATTGTTGCGATCCAGCCGAGGCCAGTGGGGTGTCTAACAACCCCCCCCCCCCCCCCCCGCCACCCCCGCCACCCCCCCCCCCCGGGACTTCTGAGCTCCATCTGAATGATTTTAGAGTGTTAAGCTTGGTTTATGCTTGACGCATTCACTTTTCGCTTGGTGATGCGGCTCGCGGCTGGAACGCGCTTCACAACTCCCAGCGTTTATGGTTCATGCGGCTTGTCTCTGTGGTGAGCCAATATTCTCCCAAACTGAACGGGGCAGCATGGAGCTCTATGGCATGCATCCAACACTACACCATAGTAGAAGTAGAAATTTCTGTTTACAACATGGCATTTCAGCATTTTTTTAACAGTGTCCTCGTCTTTTCTGACAGTGCGAGCTATTTCTCTCCAAGAATTATTAACAACATGTTGACCACGGCGATCTTTGAGAGCTGAATCATACAAATGTCTGTGTTTACGAACCTCTGCCATACTGGTTCTTGCCGGTCCGCCATGTTTTTCCGCGTCCGTCCATCCGCGTGGTTAGAAAATTTCCTTGGTGCGCGTTGCGGAAATTTTGGGCTGTGCGGAGGCGCGGTGGAGGGGCGTGGTTATTAAAATGACGCAAAATGACACAACTTTTCTGCGCGGAGTCGTGCGGACCTCGCGGACGCGTCAAGCATAAACCAACCTTTATACTGATAGTGGGAGTTTTTTTTGTCTCATTTAAAAAAAGAGAGCGATTCTATATGTTTGCAGCTACAAAACTTTCAGTCTTTTGTTTTGTTTTTATCAATAACTGATGGCATTGGGTGATGTAATTTCTAAAAGCTCAGGGTAGTATGATAAAACATGACTCCTTAGTTCTTATAGAAAGAAAATAAAATATGCGTCTTTGCTTTCACTGATTTCTGACAGAAACAGAATGGAGACATACTGTATATAGAGATAGGGAACATGACTAAAAGACAAAGCCAACACTTTGTACCTGTGGATTATGTTGAACACATCAACTTAGGATAGCGAGGCTTTAAAAAGCTTATTTTTCAGACATAGAAAGAAGTTGGTCTATCAAGATAAACTTGGATCCAGGAGGAATGGGAGGTGCCACAATGCAGATTGCTGCTTTTTAATAACATATTATTCCTTTTAATGCTATTTTACAGACCTTTCACATAACTCAGTTATGGCCATTAGCGATCAGGAAATGGCTGGCAGTGAATGAGTGAACTACATTCTAACATAGTATAGCTTTCGGCTCAAACCAAAACCAACCGACCTGGGGCCTTCATTCATGACACAGTCTCATATTTAGCACCACTGGTGTGAGTGGTCCATGGTTCAAATATCAGGAGAAACAGCTGGCTTCTACCACTTCAAATTCAGGACTAACTACCAGAGTCCCAAGAAGAAAAACAACATTTGAAGTCACGGACAAGAAAAGACATTTGGACCTAGAAAACGACTGGTACTTAGCGCTTTCTCGTTTACTGTGGCAAAGTGGGTTTTCCAGTTTTAGAGATGACATCAGACAGGAAGTGTGAGTGTTTGTGTTTAAAAGCTAGCTTGTTCTGTAAATTTGCTATTGCAGTTTTAATGATCCAAGCATTGTAACATTTCCCCTTCTGTGGTTCTTTTGCCATTTACCCAAACTGTATCATTCAAACAGCCCACCATTACTGCACTGTTTCTTCAGTTCTCTATTATGAAAACGAAAAATGACATTCATTGACATTTATCATACGAGGACTTTTTATACAGAGAAATAACAAAGAAAAGTCCTGATTAGCTGTTCAGGAAGATAACAAAAAAATGACATTTTGAAATTCAATTAAAGAAGCTGTACTGATTATTGTATGTGTAATTAGAGAAAGCAATAACAGTCACTTTTAAGCTGTAAAAACCATGTTTATGTGTGCTTTTTTTTCGGCTGGGGATTTAAATAAACAAGGTCGGATTTAAACCCACCGGCCTTAATGAAGTCTCACTGCACTCACAGAATGTAATTTACTCATATGAGTCCAGGGACACATTTGTGTTTTCAGGAGCAGAAATAATTCAATGATACAAAGGAACACTGTCACAGCACTCTGGTTTTTTAGAAAATTTCACAGAAAACCATCAGTTCTGTCTAGAAAAATGTTACCTTTGAAACCCTGAAAGAGCTAAAGTTCACAATGATTTCACAACAAACTTTTTTAGAGTTTCTTTTTTTTCTTGAGAGAGATTACCTCAGGATTTTCTTACAAGAACAGAAAAAAAGTATACATAAACAGAGATGACTGGCCCATTTGTTCACATTATTTTTCTCCAATATCGCACTAGATGCACTTTAAAGGGGTGGAACACTCTAGGGGAGCCACATCCCTGCTGAGCTTCAGATGGCAGGTTTTGGAGTCTTATTTCCTGATACTTGGACATCTTGCGCCGGATTGGCTAACAGCAACATGACTCTACCATTGACTTGCAATGTTGATGTTTTATCTCCACAAATAACACAAGTACTTCTGCTGTGTGGTGGAGTTGCTAATGCTAATGGTTAGCTTCTTCTAGCTGAGACGTTATCTGCTGTGTTCTGGACTCGAAACATACAACAGCCTTCCCCGTTGCGAGTCAAGATGGGTGAGTCCATGAACGTTAAGTAACAGTATGACGTAGATCTGTCAGGCTTTTCAGATCCTAGAGTCACCGCCTATTTCCTATCAGAAGCTAATGCAGGAGATAGGTGTAGGAGACGATTTTCATGTTCAGCCTGCATGACTTATTCAGTGACTAATTATAATCAGAAATAATAATTAAAACATTTTTTCAGTATTCCACACCTTTAAATAAAATCTAAGAAAATATTTTGCACGTGGCACGCAGCATGACACATCTCATCCAACCTACAGCCACATCTTATCAAGATGAACCAAAAATAGACCCACTGTGTGCACAGTGTGGCTTCAATTTCACTTTTCTCTCAAAATACAAAAGTTAAACTCCGTGTTCAGTCAGAAATGAGCACGCCTGCAGTGTCTGTTTAGAAACACATTTTCATTACTTATTTTAAAAGTAGCGTATAAAAAAGCAACACCATACTTTATGCAATGAGGTAAACGTTTCCTTCTTTATAAAGTCTCATAAAAATACTGGCTCACTGAATGCAGTGAAGAGAGAAACTGGGAAATAAAAGGCATCTTGCACAACGATACGCGACAACACTTAAGCAGTTTTACAGATGACACCAGATGTCCAGCTCCGTTAGGCTCACCTGTTAGGCTCCCCAGAGGAGAAATGGCTCCTCCTAAAGCCGCTGTAATGGCTGTTAAACGGAGGTTAATCATACACCGTGTTTGCTCTGGATCTTTTAACAGTATGCTATGTGTGCAGTTCAAACAAGCTGATGCATCTTGTTTGCTGGTTTGGAGCACCCACTGTTTGGCACTAGCGTCCGCTGTGGTGGACACAGATGATTTCCTGTCTGAACAGGAGAGAACCTAGAACTCGCCATATCATGCTTTCAAAGGCTTTATACACCTCAAGTTGGATTGAAGAATTATGTATCGTCTGAAGTGAGGAGCAGAAATGGACCACTCCATAATTCTGAAGTGACCCAGGTCCAGCGTGGTGCCAAGCCGATTGGTGTTAAACTCTGAGGTCAACCCCTGTTGCAGCTGCACAAAGGCTTGTGGAAAAGCACAGCTGATCCCAATGACTGTCAACTGCACTTTCTGCTCAGAAAAGTCCCCGCGCAGGCATAAAGCCTTGGAGCTTTTGAGTGAAGGAACACTTGAAATTCACATTTTTAATAACTCACCGTGTTATTTTGACATGTGGTAATATTTAGCAATAACTTCTGACAAAGGAATGGCATTGAGTTATGAAGGCAAATGATGGATCTGTTGGCAGAACCTGGACGAAGCAGCGATGTTGAAGCAGATCAGCGAGGCAGAGTCTATAAAAATCATCATATAACCAGAGAGCAAAAGACATTTTAGTGATAAAACATTAGATTTTTTATACTGCCTGGAACATCCTTCTTCTTATGGTGGTATTTTTAATAAATATTTAATTTAATCTAAATATTTCATGCTGTTTTTAATTTGGACTGCCGAGTACAAACAAACATGCAGCCACGCAGCTTCTGAGCACAAGTCAGCAGGTTTCCAGCCACCATGAAATGTGCCAGCCACCTTTGTCCAAGTGCACGTGTGGTTTTTTGTTCCCCCGAGCGTGGGATTAAAGCCCCGTGGTGACCTGTGTGAGTTCTGAGTTGAGATCATCGTTGGCAACGCCACCACGACAGCAAGAGTCCATCGATGACCCCTCCAAGGCTAGTCATACCTGCAGAGGGAGAACAAAGTGTGTCCGTGTCAATTCAACCAATATTTTCACTCTAAAAGTGTTGCAATTTACCACAGTGAATCGTTTCTTTCACAGATAAGTCCATAATATTACTGATAGGGGAACTCATTGTCATGTTACACTGTCAAAAAATCTTAGATTTTACGATAAAAGAGCCCTGGGTGGCCTTTTGGCAACAGAGGTGCCTATTGGGGCCAGTGGGGGAGCTGGCTCCCTGGAGGGCTTAAGCCCAGCCAGCCATTCCTCCCCATACCCACACATTTTTCTCCTCCTGCTCCCTCACATCATCACACAAACATGCACATAGGACCTTGGGGGGGTGGACAAGTCAGGGGGTGCAGGTATGGACCCCATTTCCACATTCCTGTGGCAATCTGCCCCCCAATTTTATTTGCACCATAAACACTTCCACCAACGACATTCCACGCAAACACTTGGGGTCTTGGGAGTGAGCACATTCAACGGCATTTGGCAGGGGGATTTTTCAGCCTCATTCTGAGTGCTGGTGCCCACTTCCCATTTTAAACTGCACTTAGACACTAAGGGCTGTGGGTGCAAGTGGGGTGGTGTGGTGGCATCAGCTGGCGTAGGCTAGACGATGCCCGCATTGCCCGCTCACCACAGCCATGGACTACACCTCATCAACATGCACTAACACTATATTGGAGCAGGCGGAGGGAGACTAGGGGTCTTAGCACACCTCTGTTGTTGCTTGGCTTCCCGGAGCTGGAGGCTAGGAGGGGGATCTGGCCATCTGGTTGGGGTCTGGGGTGGTGGGTTGCTTTGCTCAGTGTTGGGCGGGGGAGTCTGCTCATCAGCATCCCAGCAGAAAGGGTCGAACTCTGGGAACCGGTAATGGTTTTACCCCATGTGCAGCAGTACCAGGACCAGAGTGAATAGGGTGTGTATGGGGAGCATGAGTGGGTGTCCGGCATGCATTTTTGTAAGTCTTTGGTTGTATGTGTATGTGTGAGCATGAGGGAGGGAGTGTATTACTGTGTCTGTGTATGACTGTATATGTCAGGTGGGGCCTTTGACTCCTCCTTCCTCCTGGGACTTCTTTTGATGCTATACATCTTCATCTCCCCTCCCCCTGCCACACCTGGTGTGGAGTGTGGTGCCTTGGTCTGCCTGAGTGTTCGTGGTTAGGGGGTTTAAGATTTTTGGTGTCTGCCTGATCAGTCCCGGTGGCTGCCTGGTGGGATCTGGGTCCCTGGGCTCTGCTGGGTCCCCGGCGGGGTTGGTCGCCCCTGGGTCCTGGGCTCGGCTGGCTGGGGGGTGGGAGGCTGCGGGCGGGCCTGTGGGCTTGCCGCTGATATCTCACGGGACTCTGCCGGATGCTGGTTGTGGCCCCCCGGGGCAATCCTCTGCGCCTCTCGAGGGGGGCAGGGGCTTTTCTGGTTGCAGTCTCCCTGGGGTCCCTGCACTCTGGGGCAGCTCCTGGATCTCTGAGACTTGGAGCTCCTACACATCTTTGGGGGCAGATCTGTGGCCCCTCACACTCTCTATTGGACGCTCCTATAGAGAAACCTTACATATGCAAGCGCGGGTACGCACACAGGTGCTCACATGGTGCTCTCATAAGTATGGACTTGGGAACGTTCAACACATGCCTTGAGGCTGTGGTTGGCACTTAATACACTGTGATTTATTATCGTGTGATTGTTCAGTAAAACAATGTTGATTTAATATTTTCTCATCAGGTTGATACAGTGATTGTTTGCTCCTGTTGTATTGTTGTGTGTTGTTTTTCTTTTTTTTCTCCTTCTGCAGGTCTAGAAGCAGACTCTTGTTCATCATTGATTGTTTATTTTGTGCCAGACTTCACCTAAATGCCGTTAAGCTCACTGGGAAACAGGAAGTAAATTCTCCCCAGCAACTGCTACAATTTTTTTTTGTGTCCCTAAAAGGCACGCGAGTGCCGCTACCAAAATATGTTGACTGAAACACCACAGAAGAAGTGAGCTTGTCACATGATCAAATTAATTTACTTAATGGCTAATGGCTAATAATCGTTAAGGGCATCAATAACTTGTTAAAGAAATCTTGGAAAATCTGCATCCCTAATGCTGTATAATCTAGTGTTTTCATGTGACATTAATGTAAAATTCACAACGTTAAATTACACCATGTATCCGTTATCAGCAATTAAAAGCTGTAATGTTTTCAATTAATAAATGTAAAAATCATAGTGTTTATACCGTTGATGAAAAAAGCTGACGAAAGAGTGCTTTACTGTGGGAATATGTATTTTATTCAAAGAATTTATAAATTACTGTTTTCACCAGTGGCAACACCACATTAAATCAACAGTTTTAAATAGTTTTATAGCTGACGGTTTTTTCCTGTTATGGTTTTACGGTTTATCATTGTTAAATAAACAGTAATTTTTTAGTGTACAGCCACTTTACACAAACTGGATCAGATTTGTCTAAATTATTAAGCATATTTGGGATTTAAAAATAAAAAATAACAACTGAAGAGTGAAAATACATATGCACATTCTTTACAAGACAATTGGATGTTTTCATTTTAATTTACTTATCTTCAATTGGGACACAAATGCAATATTTTTCATTTCTCAAAAAAATAAGTGCAAAAAACAGTAACAAAGAAAGTGATTTATTTTTGATAGACTACTGAACTGGGTGGGAATTTCAGGTACAGCCCATAGTTGGTTTCAATCACAACTTGCAGACAGGAATAATGTTTCCATTGGTGAAAAAAATCAAAGCAAATCGCACTGATATGCAGTGTCCCCCAAGGCCCGATTCTTGGATCACTGCTTTTCAATCGCTACATGCTTCCACTGGGTCAGGTCATAAACAATAACAACATCACCTACCAAAGTTTTGCAGATGACACCCAGATCTACATAGCTCCATCACCTAATGAATCTGGTCTCCTAGACTTACTCTGTCAGTGCATAGAGCAAGTTAATGACAGGTTTCCTTCAGTTTAACAAAGACAAGACTGTAGTTATTGTCTTCGGAAATAAGAATGATAGGATAGAGGTTATTTCTCAACTTAGCTTCAAAGGAATAAAGACAAAGACTCAGGTTAGAAACCTTAGTGTTACCATTGATTCAGACCTGAGCTTCCCTGTTCACATCAATGCTATAACTAGATTAGCGTTTTACCGTCTCCATCAATTAGCAAGAATCAGAGGTCTCATGTCAAAACAAGACCTAAAGAAACTAACTCATGCATTCATCTCCAGTGGGCTGGATTATTGCAATGGTCTTCATGGTCTTCCAGAAACAGCTGTAAAACAATCGCAGCTTATTCAGAAAGCTGATGCTAGAGTCTTAACAAGAACCAAAATAACCAAGCACATCACCCCTGTTCTTAAATCTCTACACTGGTTACCAGTAAACTACAGAATCAACTTTAAAGTGCTTTTACTAGTCTACAAATCTCTCAGTGGTATGGGGCCAAAGTACATGTTGGATCTCCTTCCTGTATATACACCCAGCAGGGCTCTCAGATCCTTAGGAAACAGTCAGTTGGTAGAACCTCGGGTCAGAACCAAACAAGGTGAAGCTGCTTTTAGCTACTATGCTGCACACAGATGGAATCAGCTTCCTCATGACCTCAAATGTGCCCCAACTCTAGAAACTTTTAAATCAAAATTAAAAATCCTCACGTATTCATTAGCCTTTGAATAAATGTTTGTTATGCTGCACTTTTTGCACTTTAACTGCTAACCTTTTGACTATGCCTTTTATCTGTTTGTTAAATGAGAAATGAATATCTACATTTCTTAGTTTGATTTTCTGTGTTTGCTGTTCTTGCGTCTGTAAAGCACTTTGAATTGCCTTTGTGTTTGAAATGTACTTTACAAATAAAGCTGCTTTGTCTTATTTGGTTGTTGATTTTTTTTCACACTTTTCAAGATATATAAGACTTTTAAAATCCTTTTTAAAGCCACAAAAGTTTGATTAGGACTGAAACTGGCTTTTATAGAATAAATGTGTCAGTTCTCATATTGTTTAAAAGTGAAAAAAAAATTATAAAAAATTGAAATATACAATAAAAGAAAGAAATCCTATGAATACCCCCTAGAATTATGTAAAAAATGTTTTACTTTCTCAAAAATAAATAATTACATCCTCCAACTTTTTATTTTACTCCTAATTTACTATTCAAGAATCATCAAATTACATTTATTTTTTCAATTCAGGCAAATAAATATTTGATTACCTGCTGGTTGGACCTATCGCCCGTGTTTGCAGTGTTTTGTTCACGCTGAGGGAATTTGCGGCTGGTGGCACCTGTTCTGGACGAGTTCTGCATCTCCAACACCGAAGGACTTGGGGTGCAGAACTCCCGGAAACATCGCTTAAAGTTTTCATCCAGGTAGCCGTAAAGGACCGGGTTCAGACTGCTGCAGGGGGGAACAAAAGTTTAACATTTAAAAACAAGCCATCTCTAAAGTCATGTCACTGGTCATTTTTAAATGATTTTAAAGCAATTTGGGATCATTCTAATCAGAAATCAAATTCAGACATATATTAAAATATTTATCGGCTGTGAGTTTGCACCTGTTGGTGTAGCCCAGAGCGATGCAGAAGTGCCAGGTGATGGTCTGCAGCGTGGAGCTGGGGATGTTGATCAGAGCCGTGATGATGACGAAGACGTGGATGGGAGTCCAGCAGACAATGAAGACGGAGACCACCACCAGGACCATGCGGGTGATTCGACGTAGGTTTCTGTCTTTCTCCTGTGACGAAAGAACGGGGAAAATAATCATGGCACAAAAAAGATGGACATTTGAAAGTAATTTAAAACAATGCTAAAAACAGGGGAAAAGTAGCAGCTAAAGCTCCGAGTGTATAATTAAAACGGACTCATTTGTATGTTGATTTTACTTTAATTGCTTTGTCTCGTGAACAGTGTGGGAACAATTTCTCCAAGTGCTTGGATAAGTTATCAGCTGTCCTTGATTTCTCTTAAAAATATAATGAATCAGCTCTTGAAAAGAAAAGCAGCCTTTCATTGGCACCCAAGAGCATTTTTCTGTTTTTAAATATGACCTTCAAACATAGTTCATGCGTTTTGGGTGAAAAAATATTTTTCTCACCTGGGAGCCTGACAGTAGTCGCACGCTCTTGAGTCGCAGGATCATGAGGCCATAGCAGATGGTGATGATGAGGACAGGCATAATGAAGGCAAAGATGAACACGCAAATCTTCATCAGGGTGTCCCAGTACCAGGAGGGGTGGGGGAAAATCAGCTTACAGTCAATAATGTTTGAATCTGTGCAGAGCAAGATCACACACACACACACACACACACACACACACACACACACACACACACACACACACACACACACACACACACACACACACACACACACACACACACAAACTGTATAGTCAACATGATTATGATTACATGCATGTTTCAGAGAGATGATGCATCTCAACACAGAGCAAAACACATAAAAGGTTCTCAGTCAGAAGATGCAAAAAGCACAAATTTAAATTTTTGTATATTTTTGGCTGAAACTGTTTAATCTGATAAAAATAGCCATCAACTCAGTCATTTGAATCAATTGTTGATGCTTATTTAGCAAAAGTGAATAAACATTCTCAGTCGTTTTTACTACATGTTGTATTCACTTTTTAAACTGGCTGTACACGACTCAAATGCTACCATGACTAATAAGAGCTGCAGCCAAGGACAACAAATTCACCTCAAGACACATCATGAAGAAAAAGAAAAAGCAAATGAATAAGATCTATTTATTTTATTTGAGTGGTATCATTATTTTGTGTTTTCCTCTGCTAATACTAAAGGTAACAGACAACGAAAGGCAAAGAAAGCAGCATAATAATTATTATTTTATGGCCTTTAAACACTGCATTATCTCCATATGTTTTATTTAAACATCCGACAGGAACAGAGCAGCATGCAGAGGTCAGAGGAGCTCTTGTGTTTACTGTGCTCATTAGGAGTGTGTGTTTGTGCTGCAATCTGTGTTTAACTGGATGCAAATGTATCATTTATGAAGCCTTTGTGTGCAAACGTGCAGATTGGGAACCCAGTGCTTCCTGTCGATAATTTTCCTTGCATAAAGTTTAATGAGCTAAAACATAATTTAATCACAAGGCCAATGGCTTTTCACTTCATCACAAACTACAAGGTTTTATATGAAGGCTGATGTATTTTTATCTGATTTTTCATTAAGTGTGATGCTCAAACTTAGCTTCACACCAAGAATGAGCTCCCAGTGAATCTAAACTGGATGGCAGATTTCTCCTCATCACCTCTGGAGTTGGGCTATTTAAGTGTGCTTACGAGTGACAGCGGTGGAGGCCAGGAACATGACAGGCAACCCGATGGCCGAGGACAGGATCCAGTTGCAGACGTTGACAATCTTGGCGTTGCGTGGTGTCCTGAAGTCCAGCGCCTTGACGGGGTGGCACACAGCGACGTAGCGGTCGATGCTCATGGTGGTGAGTGTGAAAATGGAGGTGAACATGTTGTAGTAGTCGATGGACATCACCATCTTGCAGAGAATGTCGCCAAACGGCCAGGTGCCCATCAGGTAGTTTACGCTCTGGAACGGGAGCGTGCTCGTGACCAAAGTGTCAGCCAGGGCCAGGTTGAAGATGTAGATGTTTGTGGCTGTCTTCATTTTTGTGTACCTGGGGGCAAAACAGTGGACTTATGAGGCTCACGCATGAAACTTCCTGTTGTTCTTTCACAGCACAAAGAGTTGTGTTACATATCCGCCGTTTTATATAAAGGTCTAACATTCTTCTGTTTTTTAGGTTTTTTATTTGAACAAAACTGTGCATGCAGGGTGTGAGGATGAATGCCAACATTTTTTTAAATGGTTTCCAGAGTTGACTCACCATGCACATCTGTATTAGATCAAACGTATGATTACAGAGTCAGAAAAAAGGCTTATGTGGCAGGGGTGAAGTGGCTCACTCCTCACTCCGCCACATGGACCCAAGGGATAAACCATCAACCCTGCTCAATGGTCAACTTTCCTCACGGGGTCACACCCATTAGGACAGTGGGAGGGTTAAAGTGGTACTTTACTCATTTTTTTAATACATTTGCAGTGGTCTCTTGTAGGAATTAATGCCTTGTAAGCCATACTAAATGAAATTAAATGTCGAGTGGGCCTGTTTAACCCTCTGGAGGCAGGCGTTGCCAATTTGCAACATTAAAACCTACCTGGTTAACCACATACGTATTTCATGAGCATTTTTTAACTCAGAAGTACCCCTGAAGGACTTAGTTGTTCGTCAAGGTACTAGAGGGCTACTCAGTCGAGGACTAGAGAAGAGACACGGAAGTGACAGCTTGTTGTGACAGCTCTCACTGATGGTGGAGGTTTTTTAATTGTTTTTTAATTTTTTTCCACGCCTTTTTATTTCCCTTTTAATCTCTTTTTTAATGATGACTGGTTTTAACTGATTTTAGCCCAAGAAAGCTTTTAAGGACCTTCTTTTATCTGGCACATTTTAACTGGAGTTCGGACTGCTTTTTACCTCACAATGGCTCCACTCACCTGCAGTCCTGGGTGTGACGGATGCCACAAACTTTCTCAGAAGGTTTTGGAGCTTGAGCAGAGGATCTCCACGCTACATCAGATCCAGGACCACGAACGGGACGTGGATATCATCTTTGGCCATACACTCGCCGCCGCCGATAGCGCTCAATTGGCGGATACCATCCCGTACCAGCTCGGCGGGGCTGTGGAGGGTGGACCTACCGCTGGTTGTCCAAGCGGCCTCGGGGCACCGGAGGCCCGCGAAATAACTGCGGAGGAGACAGAAAGGGCGCGCTGGCTCCAGCAGGGAGCCAAGCCGAAATTCCCACTTTGCTCCACTCCAACGCTCCAGGGTGCCTGGTCGACGGTTGGCCGCGGTGGGGGGGCCCGGAGCTCCAGACATCGATCTGCTCCATTTGGCCTCCCACTCACCAACCGTTTCGCGCTACTGGAGAAGGACTTCCCTCCGCTGACGGCCTCTGGGCCCTGTAGCTCCACGGTACCATCCTCCGATTGCATCGAGCCGCCGCGGGAGCAGCTGTCGGACGCCGACGGCCATCCACGTCCCGCCCAGCCCTGGGCTGGAGCCCCAGCACGGCGAGGAGTTGCCACCCTCACCCCAAACCCACGGAGGGAGCCCTCGGCCCAGGAGAACCGCTGCAGTCCCGGGGAACCGCTGAACAACATCCAGCAGGTCCCGGACGGATCCTCTGCTCCAGCCGACCCGCCACCAAGGACCCTCATCATCGGAGATTCTATTATCAAACACGTCAGGATGAGTGGAGCCGTCACTCACAGTTTTCCCGGAGCGAAAGTCATGGACATTGCCAAACGGATCCCAGAGCTCATCCACAATCACCCAACAGTGAGTAAAATAATAATCCACGCTGGCACCAACGACACCCGCATGCAGCAGTCTGAACTCCTCAAGCGTGATTTTATTCATCTTTTTAACTTGTTAAAAAGCACACATCTGTGTGTTTTTATCTCTGGCCCCATCCCCACGGTTGACAGAGGAATTGGACGCTTTAGCCGAATTTTATCTTTGAACACCTGGCTTTCTTCTGTCACTGTGCAGCACAACATTGCTTTTATTGACAATTTTAACATTTTTTGGGGCAGGAAGCATCTGTTTGGGCCTGACGGACTCCATCTAAATAGACAGGGTACCCACACACTTAAAATGAGCCTGGCCTGCCCACGACCCAACCTCCTCCCCCCACATCATGATGTCCCACTGGTCCAGGATCCTATGAACCCAGTTATGATTTTAACAGTAACCCACATATCGGACTTGGACCCTTGCACACCTCTCACATTCCTGTAATCAGCAGAGAGCGATCACATAAACATAAAACTAACCGGGCTAATCTTAATAATCTTAAACAGTTGTCAATAATCTCACCCCCAGTCAATCACACAGTCACTCCACCTTTAGTTACTATCAATATGGCTCTTTTAAATGTTCGCTCTCTGCTGAACAAAACTTTTATTATAAATGACCTCATTTTAGATAATCATCTTAAATGTGTATTTTTGACAGAAACATGGTTGAGTTCAGATGCTCCTGCTGTTCTCACAGAGGCCTCCCCACCAAACTTTAATTTTACTTATTCAATAAGAAACGGAAAAAAGGGAGGCGGAACTGCTTTTATAAGCTCATCTACACTTTCCGCAAAACATGTTTTATTTGATAACTACACCACATTCGAATATTGTGCAGCCATTTTCAGCGATCTTCAGATTTTGTGTGTTACTCTTTATAGGCCTCCGAGGCACAGTGCACTTTTTATACAGGAATTTTCCGAGTTTTTATCAATTCTGCACAACTCTTTTGATAGTATTATTTTAGCTGGTGATTTTAATTTACACATAGATGACCCTGCAGACCCTTTTACCACTGAATTTTTAAACATTTTGAGTTATATGGATTTTACACAACATGTTGCACAACCAACCCACGACAGAGGACACACCCTGGACTTGGTCATCACATATGGTCTGTCCACCGGTGTGTCCTCTGTCGTGGATTTAGCGATCTCAGATCATTTCTGTGTGTTTTTTAGCATTACCAGCATAATTCAGCAGGAGACCTCTGTGAGAACTGTAATGAAACGCCATCTAACCCCTGAAGTGGCTGCTGGTTTTCTGGAAACTTTTAAAAAGATCCCTCCTATTAATTTAAATGCCCCCTGTGATTTTTCTTCAATGATTTTAACAGCAGACTTAAATCTACTCTGGATTTGCTCGCTCCACCTAAAATTAAAAAGCTACAGCCAAAACCGGCTTCCCCTTGGAGCAATGAAAACTTGAAAATGTTGAAAAGATCTTGCAGGGCGGCGGAGAGAAAATGGAGGAAATATGAGAACACAATTAATAAACAAATATACAAGGAATTATTAAAATCATACAACAAAGCTGTTAGAAATTCCAGAAATAATTACTTTTCTAAAATCATCTCGGAACACAAAAATAATCCCAAAATTCTGTTTTCTACAGTCACAAATATTTTGGGTCGTGAATTTAGTTCTCTCCAGAAAACCCCCTCGGACTCTCTCTGTGAGGAGTTTGCAGCCCACTTCAGAGGGAAGGTAGACACCATCAGACGTAACATTTTTTCCACCCAATGTCATGCTGCTCCCGATCAATCTGAGAGTGTGTGTCTACCTGAGGAAACACTGGACAGTTTTGTCTTGGTTGAAGTTGAGATTATTGATAAAGTTTTCCCCTCAGTGAGGCCTACCACATGTGTTCTGGACCCTATCCCCACAAGGTTTTTACAACAATTTTATGACTCATTTAGAGATGAGATTTTAACTTTGATGAACTGTTCCCTTCAGACGGGGGTCTTTCCTGCTGCTTTTAAACGGGCGGTGGTCAGACCCCTGTTGAAGAAGAGCAATTTAGATTTTAATGACTTTAACAATTTCCGACCGGTATCCAACTTACCATTTTTAAGCAAAACTTTAGAGAAGCTTGTTTTAATACAACTTAATGATTTTATCAACCACCAACATGTCCTAGAGAAATTTCAGTCTGGTTTTAGGGTGAACCACAGCACTGAGACGGCCCTTCTGAAGATTTTAAATGATTTTAGAACAAATTATGATGCTCGGAGGGCAACAGTGTTGGTTCTGCTGGATCTAAGCGCTGCCTTTGATACAGTAGACCACACTATTCTTTTAACCCGTTTAAAACAGATCGGCCTCTCTGGTGCTGTTCACAGTTGGTTTACTTCCTACCTCACAGACAGGACTTTTATGGTGAGTCTGGATACCTGTTCCTCTGGGGTCCACAGCATCACATGCGGGGTGCCTCAGGGATCAATTCTAGGCCCAGTACTTTTTAACCTCTATATGCTCCCTCTGGGCAGCGTCATCAGGAGACATGGGGTGAATTTCCACAGTTACGCTGATGATACACAGTTGTACATCTCCGTGTCTCCTGATGACTCTCAGCCAATGGAAACACTTTTTAATTGCATTTTAGATATTAAATCATGGATGACTGAAAACTTTCTCCAGCTCAACCAGGGCAAAACTGAAGTTTTAGTCATCGGTCCTGAGGCCCAGAGAGAGAAACTTTTACCTAAACTACAATCAATGTCTTTTTATCCATCACTACAAGTGAAGAATCTGGGTGTTATTTTCGACTCTGAGCTGACTTTTATCCCCCATATTAAAAACATCACAAAAATAGGTTTTTACCATCTTAAGAATATCGCCAGAGTCCGCCCCATTCTCTCTCGGGCCAATACGGAGACGCTAGTGCATGCTTTTATCACCAGTAGAATTGATTACTGCAATGCCCTGCTTTCTGGTCTTCCCAAAAAGAGCATCTCAGGTTTACAACTCTTACAAAACTCAGCAGCACGTGTCCTGATGAAGACCAGGAAGCGGGAGCACATCACTCCGGTTTTAAAATCACTGCACTGGCTCCCCGTATGTTTCAGGATTGATTTTAAGGTTCTTTTAATGGTTTTTAAGTGTCTTAATGGTCTTGGGCCTTCTTATCTTTCAGAACTGCTTTTACTGTATAAACCCTCGCGGTCTCTGCGCTCCTCTGGCAGCCGTCTCCTAGTTATCCCTAAAGTTAAGACTCACACCCACGGCGAGGCGTCCTTCAAGTACTACGGCCCTC